CTGATCTATCTTTCCTAAAAAGGACATAGCCATCCATAACCACATTCCAGTCATGCGAGCTGCCCCACCATGTCTCAGTAATTGCCACCAGGTCATAACCTTTAGACCGCACACAGACTTCTAACTCCTCCTGTTTATTCCCCATGCTGCGCGCATTGGCGTACAGGCATTTCAGGGAGCGAGCTGAGCACGCTAGTGGCACATTTGGAAGGCGGGATGCCTTCTGGTCTTCATTCATACTAGAATATTGCCCCGCTAGTTCAAACCCAGCTACAACCCCATCGCACTTCGAATCTAACTTAGAGCTCTGTGAGTGAGCTCTACTAACTCTTGCCCAGGTACTCTTTTTCCCTGCAGGACAGGGTTTAAACAACTACCCTTTCCCGCAAATGAAACAATAGATTGAGAGTTCTCCCTAGTCTGCCATTCTTCAAGCCCTAGCATGTTTCTCTTGGGCCTGTCCCCAACAGGCCCAGTTATCATCTCCCCTTCCCCCTTCCTACCTAGTTTAAAGCCCTGTCAATGAGCCCTGCTAACTCCTGCCCCGGAAACCTTCTCCCCCTCTGGGACTGATGTATCCCACCTGCCACCAGCAAACCAGGTGTCTCATATAGCAGCCTATGATTGAAAAACCCAAACCCCTGCCTTTGGCACCAGTCCCATAGCCATATATTGATCTGCAGTCTCTTCCTATTTATCTCTTCACCTTTGCTAGTAACAGGTATGGAGGCAAACACCACTCGTGCTCCACACCCTCTAACCAGCCGTCGCAGGGCCCTGAAGTCTCTCTTCGTTGCCCTTGCCTTGCTTGTAATAATTTCATCGCTGCCAACCTGAAAAACCAGCAGCGGATAGTAGTCAGAGGGCTGCACCAGATCAGAGAGTTTCCTTTTAACATCTCCAATCTGAGCCCCAGGTAGGCAGCAGACTTCCCTGTGGGATGGATCAGGTCGACAAATGGGCCCTTCTGTTCCCCTCAGAAGGGAGTCACCCACCACAATTACTCTTCTTCTTTGTTGAGGAAGTTCTAAGGCATGGGGGTGAGCGACAAGCCCTAGGTGACTTACTGGATGGATCTACCCCTCCATCACCATTTACCTGGCCCTGTAGTTCCAAGACCTCATACCTGTTGCTCAAGGGCAACTGGGAGGAAGGAAGGGATTGCGAGGGTTTTCGCATACCTCTCCGAGGAGGGACCTCCCTCCATACTTCCTTGTTCCTTAAGTTTACTCCTTCTGTCTGATGGTAGGAGGGAAGGGGATCTATCACTTGTTCAACCACTTCCCTCTGCCCTTGCCTTAGGGTGTGGCTCCACCAATCAATTTCACTTTCACACTCTCTGATAGCTCTCAACCTTTCAACGTCCTCCCTCAGTTCAACCACCTGCTCTAGCAGGTCATCTATTTGCTGACACTGCACACAAGCGGTGTCCCTGGCTCTCTCCGATACAAGTGCCAGGCTCAGGCATTCACTGCAGCCAGGGACCTGCACGGCCGCATGTCTGCAGGAAGGCTCAGTCTGGGTACCCACGTTATTCCTCACTACAGGTTTTGATCGAGTGGTGACCATGATCTATCTGGTTGATCGGTCCGTCTACGTCTCTTTGCACAAGCAAGCAGTCCTTCCTCCTCCTGCGCTCCAGCCGAGTCCTCTTGATCAGGCGCTCGCCCCACTCGCCTGCCCGCGCAAACTGCCTCGCCGCGCTCCCTCTGCAGGGTTTTAAGCGCTCACAGCTGCCGCCGAGCCTGCTGGCTCCGCCCCCGGTCAGTCAGCTACTCGCGAGAGCTGAGCTGCCGTCTCCTGGGCAAGGCCTGTTGAGGAGTTGAGGCTCCCTCCTCAATGGCTTTTGTCGCTCTGAGTTGAGGCTCTTGGATGCTGATCTCTCCCCGCTCCACTCCGGTGTTGCAGGCGTCCTCTCTCACTCTACTCACCTCAGCAAGGGGTACTTGGAGTCATTGAAGGGTTTAGGCTTCCAGATGATCAGAGTGACTACTCCCCAAGCCTCTCCTGGAGCCCACTTTCTCATTCAGTCATCTGTTACAGTCTCCCTCTTCCTCAAATAGTGTCTGGCCACTGTACCCACTCTTCCTTACCAGATGCCTTACAGACCAGACTCTCACTACTGCCAGTCTTAAAGATCCTCTGCATGAAAGCTGGAAGCAGAAATAAAAAGAAAGTCTTAAAACATCTAATAACCTAAAGAGACAAACCCTCCAATAAAACCCTCCCCACTCCAGGGAGGAAGGAGACCACGGTGATTCATGAGGCCAGAAACAAGGAAGAAAGGTAGGCTTAGCCTATCTTCCCTCACCATTGCCTGGACCCCGAGAGCCAAGAGGTTAGCACTGAGGACTGGGCACAGAGGGACTGAGCCAGCTCCAGGAACCAGAGCTGGATGGAGACAGGGGCATCCTAAAGGAGCCACCACCTGATCATCTGTCCAAGCTGCTCCTAGATGAGAAACTTTGCAAGCACATGCCGCTGGGTGACAGCCAAGCATCATTTCTGAATATAGGTCTGGTCCCACAAGAACACCATCTCCTTGCCCTGCCCGTGCTGGAACTGCTCCAGGGACAGGACTGAGCAGTGAATACATCCCACATCCCAGGAGTGCCTCCACCATTGCTCCTGCTACACTAAGGATGCCCAAGTTCATGGACAAATGAAGTATCAGTGGCGACAAGTCAGCCCTGGGTGATGCCCAGAGACACTCCCCAGCTCTGTCCCCATGTTCCTCATCTGTCTGGGTGACTCCCCAGGCTAAAATCAGACCAAGGAACTTGCTATCGGTTAAACAGTGTGTTACCTCCTGGCCTGGTTTCGCTTAGTGGTGCAGACACAGGTCTGCTATGAGTTTTTGCCATTATTTTCCAGGTCAATTAATGTGAGAAACAATTTACGAAGGATTTATACAGGTTACAAAACATGTTTCTTAGAGCGAGAAGTGTTGCTGCTACAGGTGTGACGTGAAGACGACAACCAGGTTTGGTCACTTACAGAATAAAGGGTGTAAAGCTCATACTTCCCTTGGGTTTTTTAGAGCCATCTAAAAAGCAGTTTTAGAAGTGCAGTTGCAAGAGCTGTTTTTGAATTAAAAGCTTCAATTTGTATCAAGAGTATCTCAGAATATTCTGAATGCAGCTCAGCACGGGCTAGATTTGTGCTGACAACACAATTGCTGACATGCTCTTACAAATATTGTTCTTCTCACCTTCTAGTTTCACAACCTTTTCTTTTTTTTCTTGCCTGGAAGTCAAGGTTACAGTCACCACGTGCAGGCACTGGAGAGATGGAGAACTGTGGAGTGCTTGGTGAGGAAGGCCCCAGGCTGGAGATGGGGTGGCTCCTATGCCCTGGACCTCACCTTCCCCGCTGGAGCCCAGAGCACTGTGCACCTGTGAAGCAGCCAGGCCCGGCCCGGCCCTTGCTTGTGGCGGGATTCCCACAGCGTGGCACAGTCCAGTTTGGAAGTGCCCGTGGGCTGCCCGCTGCGGGAGCTGTGTGCCACGAGGCTCCACAATGGGCAGGGCCCTATGGACCCGCAGCTCAGGAGGGGCTGCAGATGGTGCCAGGCCCTGGCCTTGGCCTCGCCGCAGCCATCTGGCTGCTCGCCTTCGAACGGCTCCGAGTTGGACGTTAGGAAGAAGCTCCTCTGCAGCAGCAGCAGCAGCTCGTTGGGAGTGGTGGCTGTGGGCGGCTGCTCCTTCCTGTTCTCCCAGCGCAGCTTGCTGAGTTCGTTCCGGAGCTCACCGCGGGCCTCGCTGCTGCTCCAGGCTCCTCTGGCCAGCTCCTTCGCCAGCTGATGCTGCAGGCTCTGTGCCTGACGGGCGGCGGCGTGCTGGTGCTGCATTTCCCCTGCAGCTTGCACCGCGCTGCCTCCTTGGAGCGCAGCAGCTGGCAGATCTGCTCCTGCCGCTGGGTGAGCTCCCGCAGCCGCTGGAACTCCCATGCGTGCCTCTGCTCCCAGTTGGAGCGCAGCCGTTTGGCCAGGAGCCGCCGGTCCCTCTCTGCCACGTCCTGCCGGTCCCCCTCTGCCACAGCGGCCTGTGGCTGCCCTGCCCTTGAGCCTGCCCAGGTGCTGTTCCTCTCTGCGTCCCGCCATCCCTGACCCCCTAAACGCAGGACTTGGACAAGAAAACATCGGTCATCTAATGCCGTCTGAGCAGTCTCCAGTGCGCGTCTCCAGTGCGCGTACGGTTCTACTCATGGGTTTTTGAGTCCTCTTGACTAGTCTGTCTCTGAACATTAGGACACGTGCTGGGTATCTTGCCATAAGAAGACTCCATCTAACATGAGCAAAACGTGGAGCTCAGGGCACCCCAAGGGGACGCAATTGACTGGGGGAAACAGGCCTCTTTCCCCTCCCAGCATCGCCCTGCCTCTCATGTTCTGAATTGCAGGTTGCCGTGGTGCCCTTTGTGACAGGCCCTTAGTGATGCGCCCTCCGTTACCCACTGTAGTGCCCTTAGTGATGTGCCCTCCGTGACCCACCACGGTGCCCTTTGTGACGTGCCTTTGTGATGTGCCCTTGGTCACACCCCAGGGCACTGTATAAAAGTCAGCAGGCCACATCCTTCGTGCCAGTGTCCGGCAGGACGGTGACGGGACAGAGCGGGAGCGAGAGACTGACGCAGACCCCTGAGCGCAGCCCACGTTGTTCCCCACTGCCCCAGCAGCCCCGCAGTGCCGAGACACTTCTTTCAACCCTACTCGTTCCTCACCCCTACCCTTTTGTCCGGCAAGGATGGAAGAGGAACGCGCTGCACACATGCGGTTTATCCAGACTTCCCTGCAGAGCTCAGAGAAGGTAACCGCAGCCGTTTCCAGGCTAGCAGTGCCCGTGTCTCCTGATGGGGCCACTGGCTCTGCTGCCAGGCTGCTGGGGGCTGCTGGCTGGGCAGAGCTGCTCCCCCGGGTCTCCTGCACAGCACTGCAGCCCCACTGCTCCAGTCCCGCTGGCCACGTGCCCCCCCTTCTCATGCTGCCTGTTTGTGTCTCCTTCTTGTGGGCCTTGCCATGTCCAGTGCCTCTGGACTGGCTCCTCTGCCCACTGCAACTTGTCTGCTTCAAGGTGTCCCTTGGCCACCTAGAGGTGGCAGGGGTGCCTTCCCCATGGCGTGGGGGGTTAGATCCATCCCCGGGGAGAGAGGGACTGCAGAAAGACTGACGTGACCGTTTTCCTCCTTGCAGACCCTGGATGCCGTGGACGTCCTGCTGGAGAGCTTGGTGCTCAGCTCCCCGGGCTCCAGGGACCTGTGGAGAATCTTGCAGGTGTGGCATTTGCAGAGAGCAGGGCTGGGAGGTGCTGTTCCTCTCCCTGGAGGGAAGGGAGCATCCGCTCTGAGCACACTGTGTCCTCGCAGCGCCATGCCCACAGCACGCTGCAGGGAGGGTGCTCAGCTCTCAGGGAACCCAGACGTGGCCCACCGTGCTCTTCCAGGAGCCTGTGTCCCCTGGCTGCAGTCAACCCCACTTCCCATCTGCAGCCTCCTCCCGTGCCATGGCAAAGCCTGGCCCGTGGCACTTGTGGGCCAGCTCCATCCCCAGAACTTTCCTCGCACCAAAGCAGCGGGAGGCACTGACCCCTCTCCTCAGGCACCGCAGCAGTGGCAGCGGGTGCTGCCCTTCTTCCCATGCCTCGCAGTCCCTCCTGCTTTTCCGCCCAGGTCTGACCGGGGCAGAGACCCACTGGGACCTGCCTGTCCTGCACAGGGAGCCCAGCTCTGAAGTTCGGCACTCCTGACTTCTCAGGGAGCCGTACGCCCATTCCCCCATTGCAGGATCACCGCCCCCCGGGAGGGTGCTGCCCAAAAGCCCAGCCTTCACGGAGAGGGAACACAGGCCTGTGCTCACGGGGAGGGCACAGAAAGAAGCAGACTCTACCCTGGGGTGGCATCTGCCTCCCTTCAGGGCCACAAGGACTGCATGAGTCCAGCCAGGACTTGAGCAGTGCTGCTGCTGCTGCTGCTGGCACGGGCACCAGCTCCCAGGGCACAGCAGCACTTTCTCTCCTTCCAGATGCTGCTGCCCTTCATCAACATCAAGCACCCAGCTGTATGTGAACGGGCCGTGGCAAGGATCGCAAAGCTGGCCGATTTGATGGCCAGCTCTTCCTCAGTGCAGGTAGGGAGGCAGGCACCCTCCAGCCAGGCTGTCTCCCACTCCCTGCCCACCGTGGGCAGCAGCCTGCGGCTCAAGATGCCTGAGGCATTCAGCACGGCTCTGCCCTGGGCAAGGGTCTCGGCTTCTCTTTTTCCCATGTTTTTTCCTCCCCAGTGCCCTTTCTGCCAGCAGCCATCTTGGCCCCCAGTCCTGTGCAGGTCAGCACTGCCCAAGGAGCATGGCGGGAGGCCAGGCCTGGCAGCTCTCCCTGCCCGGCTGCCCAGCTCGCTGCTCTGGGAGGGCCCTGCACAACTCCGACCCTCCAGGATCCTTCCCTGGGGCAGTCTCAGGTTCGGAGCTTTTGTTGCGCTGCTGCCCCTCAGCCCTTCTACCTGTCCTGCCTCCCTTGCCCAGGTCTGGAGCTTGCTTGGACACGACCACAGCTCTTCCCACTATGACATCAGCAAGGACCGCTTGCTGGGACAGCTGCTGGGACGTCTCATTGTTTGCTGGACTAGCAAGATCTGGGCGATCCAGCAGGAGGCTTTGGTTGCTCTTCATCACCTCTCCATATTCATCCAGCACCAAAAATGTAAGAGAAGCTCTGTGGGCTTCATCCCTCCACACACAGACGTCTCCTCATAGTCCTGCTTGTTTCCCCAAGTATTGTAGTGGATTCTTTTTGTGCTTGCTGGAGGCTGTCCAGGGCAGCCTGCCCTCTTCCCTCACCTCCTTTGCCCGTCACAGCTGCTTCCCGCAGCATCCCAGCTATTGTTTTGCTGCAGAAGCCGAGTGCTCACCACAAGTCCGGCACTGCTCTTTGCTGCTCTCCTTCCCACTCTTCTCAGGGCCTCTCAGAACCCAGCAGTTCCATGGTCCCCATAGCCAAAGCTGTCACTGATGGTAATCAGTGCTGTGTCCTAATGACTTTTCCGTGATCCCCTCATGTTTAGGCATGACGTCACCTCAACCAGACAATTGTCATGATCATCCAGAGCATCCCCAGGATGGAGGGAAGAGGGAAGCAGGGAAACCCTCCTGTCTTTCTCTGTGCAGCACGATTAGCATGGCAAAGGTAATGAGCTTCTTCCTTGCTGGGCCTCTTGTCTGGGGCATCAGAACGAGACTGGTGTAAGCAAAGGGATCCAGAACCAGCGGGCTTGGCATGACCTCACTGTCCCTGGTCAGAGGGTTGCTGCTGTTCTGGAGCAGGGACTTCAGAGGGCTGCACTCCAGGGTCCCTCCTCTCTCACCTAGGGACCTCTCTTCTTATCCTCTACTCCGCAACGACTCCAGCCCCTGCTGCCAGCTTTCCCGTGGGTCCTCTCGCCAGAGCTGCTCTCACTGCCCAGCTGAGCAGCACTATCAGGGCACTCAGTGTAACACGTCTTCCCCGCCTTCCTCCTTCCTGCAGGCATTTGGGGAATACCTCCACCCTCCTGATAAGGCAGTCATCGTCCTCAGGGCCATAGAGGCCATGAGAGACTCATGCGTATGTGACAAGGAAGAGTTGATCAGCGTTGTGAACATGGCCGTGGCAGAACCTGCCTCCTGGCTGACAGAGGTAAGCAGCCTGTGGCTGCCCTGTCCTCCAGTCCTTCCAGGCACTGTTCCTCCCTACATCCCATCTCCCCTCACCCAGGTGCTTCAGGCACCTTGAAGCCATTTCATGCCAGTAGAGTAGGATGGGAAGGGCAGCTGTTTCAGCAGCAGCTGAGGAAATGGCTGCAGTCTGGTGGCAGCACCACCCTCACCCGTGTGCTCTCCAGGTGCGGATCATCACGCGCTGCATCTATAACAACTTGCAGCACATCAGCGCAGCATCAGCCCGGTGCAGCCTGAAGTCGCTGTTTCTAAGCATGGCAGAGCAGAACCCCAGGGAGATGATCTTGAGCCTTATAGATATCTCTCCAGCATGTAACAGGTACTGACCCCCACAGCCCTCGTGGGTTTGTTCCATGTGGGGAGAGGGACGTGGAGGCCCACAGAAAACTGCAGGACACCCCTGAGGAGCTGGGCCCTGTACCCCATCACTCTCTCCTGCCCTGCTGGGTTGGCCAGGCCTGCAGTAGCCAAAGCTGTCCAAGCCAGACCCGAGGCCTGCCACGAGTTTCCTCCCTGCCCCACAGGGAACAGTTTCAGCCCCCTCCTGCCTGCCCCATCTGGGACCTGGGCACTCCCAGTGAGGGGTCAGGAAGGGCCAGGGCTGCAGCACAGCCTGGCTGCTGCAGGGCTGGCCCAGGCACCGTGTGGTGGCCAAGGCAGCCCTGCTGACAGTGTTCTCTTTCAGCAAAGTTGCTCAGGCCATGTGGGAAGCGCTGCTGTCCCAGCCCCTCATCTTGGTGAAGGTCTTGAGGGAGCTGAGAAGGAACCTCCAGCACCTGCAGTTACGTATCGGAAGCAGATTCTGCAGAGTGAAGTTCTGTATCCAGCTCTTGGCTGTGAGTAACCAGACCAGTCCTTGCTCATACTCAGGGCTGTGCCTGCCTCTCCAGAAACACAGGCACAGCCCTCTTCCCTGCCATCTGCCCCCAAACAGTCACCTCCTCTGGGAAACAGGGATGCAGCCCGTTAGGGCCAGCCCAGCGCCAGGTTCCCCTGTGCCAGCCACACAGGGCCATGCCACGCTGCTTGGGTGCGGGTGCACAAAGTCCCTGTCAGTGCTCTGCTTACACCAGCAGAGCCGGCACAGACAAGCGTGTGGTGTGCGGCTGGTGTCCCCCAGCACGGGCTCTCTGTCCCCGGTGCCCTTGTCCTGAGCTGCCAGCGGGACCCAGGAGCTGCACAGTGCCGGGAGCCCTGCAGGCTCGGCCGGTCCCTCACTGCCATCTTTGTTTCAGCTCCTGGCCTGCAGCGATGTGACACCAGAGGAATTCGCTGGGGTGTACAACAGGGAGAAGTTCCCGTGGTGTCAAAATGTGGTGCTGTTCTCGCTGACGCTCACAGGCCTCATCACGTTGTCACAGTCACCTGACACGGTGAGCAGGGCATAGGCAAGGGAAGCCGTGTTGGCCTCCTGGGGCTGGGCAGTGGGTAACGCGGCGGCTTGACCAGGGCTGGGAATCGGGAGCTGGGGTCACGGCACCAAATGCCCTCAACGTCCAGTCACAGGCCCCGATCCCCTCAGTGCACCATGGGGATGGCCTGCCAGGAGGCTGCTGCAGGGATTCCTGTGCCACTGCCCAGTCAGCCAGGCAGGAGTCTGGTGCTTAAGGGCCAGAGCATTTTGGCCTGGGTGGTCCTTCGCCACTTCACATACAAGGAATTCTGTGCTTTGTACAGGCAAAGAAAATACTGGTCCTGCTGCCAGATTTGATATACATGCTGCAGACAGCCCACAGTAAGAACAGAAAGAAGATGCTGCTCATTTTCAGAAATGTGATGGGTCATTTGAAGAAGAAGGACATCTCCACTGCTCTGCAGCTGGCCGAGAATCTCCCGCAACTGTTTGATGATGTAAGGCTGCTATGGAAGCCTGATCCTCACTGATGGGCCCTTTGCAAGGACAAGTGCCTGTTAGCAGAGCCTGGCGGCAGCACTTGCATGGGGCTGTGCCCCTCCTCATGCCCCTGCGCTCTCACGGGGATGCCTTCTGGGCTCTGCAGCCCAGCTCAGCTTCTCCCTGACTTGCTGATGGCTCTGGGAGACCTGAAACCCCTCCCCTCAGCCACGCTGACGCCCTTGCTCAGGGAGCTGCTGCTACTGACGCCCTTCTGTCCTCCTCCTCCTCACCAGGTGTCCAGCCAGGTGCGAGAGCTCTCCATCTGCCTATTCAAAGAAGTAATACAGATGGCGGATTGGAAGCACCAGCGGCAGATGCGGAAGAACGTGCAGGGGAGCCTGGTCCCACTCGTGTTGCACATGAGTGATGAGACTGAGAGTGTGGCCAAGGTACAGATTGCAAACCTGAGCAGTGGTGTGGGGAAGGGCATGCTGAGCCCGCGGGGGTGGCCTGGGCAGCAGGGAGGGCAGGAGAAGCTGGCAGGGACATTTGCCACGCCTGCCCTATGTGGTCCAGCAGGGCTCAGCAGCAGCCCATGGCCACCAAGGCCTGAAGAGCAGAGTCCCCAGGGACTACCCAGCTGTCCCTGCAGGTGCTGGGGGCCAGGGCTTTGGGCCGCAAGCCCTGTCCACAATCTCCCCAATCCTTGTCCTCCTCTGCAGGCCTCTCACGAAGCCTTCTGTGTAGCTGCAAAGGTGCTCAAATGGAAATGGCTCAGTCACCACGTGCAGGCACTGGAGAGATGGAGAACTGTGGAGCGCTTGGTGAGGATAAGTCCCAGGCTGTACATGGGGTGCCCCTGTGCAGTGGTGCCTCGCCTGCAGTGCTTCAGCCCAGAGCCTGTAGCCTGGTGCTGCATCCTCCTTCCCTGCCCTCAGGCAGAGCTCCCAAGGGCTCAGGCAGAGCTCCCAAGGGCTCACCTCTCCACCCTCAGGATGTTGCAGGAGACCCATCTGGGCCCTTGCAGCGGCACAAAGGGCTCTCGGGACCTCCAGACCCTGCTTTGCATGTAGCTGTCTCTTGAACCTCAGCCCCACAGGGCTCCTGGCTGGGAGATGCAAATGTCCTGAGGATGAAGGGGGGTGTGTGGGGTGCTGGGAAGGGGGACTGTCCCAGGTAACTGGGGAGGGTGTGTATCATCCCTGCGCCCTTTTGCTCTCTCCAGCTGGAGCACGACCGGAGCAGGGCTGAAGAATATGTGCGTCAAAGCATGCCTTATCTGCAGCACGCTCAGGTCACCGTGCGAATGGCAGCCGTGAGGTTCATCGGTGAGCCGCAGTCCCTGGAGTCCCCCTTATGGCAGCCTGGCCCCAGTCCCATCTGCTGCACTGGCAGCGAGGAGCAGCCCTGTGGCTGCCAGAGCCCCAGCTGCCCTGTACAGGGCCTGTGCAGCCAGGGGCTCTGTGCTTCCCCCTCCTACCCCTGGCCTGGCAGCAGGGCTCAGTGGCACCTTGCTCAGTGGCACCTCCCCTCGGGTCCTGTCCTTCCCTGGGGTCACCCCACTGAGGGGAGGGAAGGGGTTCAGCCCAACCGTCAGAGCCGGGGCCACGATACCAGGAGTGTGCTGGCCGGCAGCAGGTCTGACCGAGCTCTCTGCACAGGACTGGCTGCGCGGTACCTGAATGACAGCAGCAAGGACACGCTGCAGGAGATCTTCAAGGGTGAGTAGGGGCAGTGCTGTGTGTGATGGGGCTGGCGGGGACAGGGGACAGAGCCTGGGCAGCGTGCTGTCCTGCTGTCCTGCTCCAGGGAACATCTTGGGGGCATTTGCTGTAATCCTGAGCAGCAGCTTCCAGGTGATCCATTTGTCTGCCTGCGCCTCCTGACCAGGGAAAGGGATGGTTGGGGCTGGCATGGTCTGGAAGAGATGCCTGTGGGTCTCTGCAGATCAGTGGGTTTCAGCTCTGCTCTTTTTCCGTCTGTTGCAGCACTCCATCCTTTGACAGGAGAAGAGGAATGTCAGGTCTCATCCCTGGTACAACAGACAATATACATCCTGACCTATATATGGATGCAGAAAAGACGGAGGCGGACCCTGTAGGCGTTGTGCTCCTGACTCTGAAAAGCCAGGCAGCAGTTAAGCCCTGCTTAAGAAAATGTGACTTTTTGATTAAAGCTCCAACCACAATTCCAAGGCCATGGTGTCCTTCGCAAGCAGCATGGAAGGCCACGCAGCAGCCGCTGGGCAGCGGTTGCGTCCTGGCTCCACGTACCCACCTGGCCATGGTTGCAAACTGGGGAGTGTTTGGTGAGGAGAATCCCGAGGCTGGACACGGGGTGCCCCCTGTGCAGCGGTGCTTTGGCTGCCCTGCTCCAGCCAAGAGCATTGCTCACATACGAGGCAGCCCGTCCCGTCCCTCCTTCAGCTCTTACAGCTGCTTCCCACAGCATCCCAGGCACTGTTTTGCTGCAGAAGCTGGATGCTCACCACAAGTCCGGCACTATTCTTTGCTACCTCCTTCCCTCTCCTCTCAGGACCTCTCAGAACCCAGTTGTTCTGAGGTCCCCACAGCCAAAGCAAACTCTTCCCTCCTTATACAACCTGGAGGAAACCTTTCCCCTGAGCCGACTGGGCAAGGCAGAGTGGGAAGGGGAGAATAGGTTCCTGTTTTGCTGCAGAGCGGGTCTGGGTGGCGGGCCCGTGGCAAGCCCCTGGGCACCTGATAGTACCGGCAGGAAAATCATCCCAGGGCACCGGTCCAGTGGCAGCGGGTACCGGCAGGTCTGTGGCGGGGCTCTGCGGGGACACAATGGTCAGCGCCGCCTTTAGCGGAAGGAGTATCCAATCTGGTCCTCCCCTGGTGCTCACCCGAGGCAGTAGCAGTGGGACAGGTTCTCTGAGGACGGACCGTGTCTGCGGCCGGGCCGCCGTTAGCAACCGTTTTGCCGTGGATACCTGGATCTTCTTCTATACTTGTGTCGTGGTTTAAACCCAGTCAGGCAACTCGTTCACTCCCTCCCTCCCTTCCCACCCTCCCCCTACTCCCGGAGGGACGGAGACGAGAATCGAAAAGAATGCAACTCCCACGGGTTGAGACAAGAACGGTCTAGCAACTAAGGTAGAACACAAACCACCACTGCCACCACCAATAATAACAATGATAAAGGAAAGAACAAGGGAAGAGAATACAGCACCTCACCGCCAGCCGACTGCCAGCTCGTCCCCCCAACCCAACCAAGCACCGACCGATGCCTCCTCCAACCCTGCAGTCTTAGCCCCTCCGGGTAACCATCAGTTACATCCTGGGCATGACGTGCTGTGGTATGGAATACCTCTTTGGTCAGTTTGGGTCAGGTGTCCTGCCTCTGCTTTCTCCCGGCTTCCCCTCCTCCCTGGCAGAGCATGAGGCTCACAAAGTCCTTGGCCAAACCAAAACATCATTGTTATCAGATCTGTTCCCAGCTACAAAGAAGGAGAAAAATGACTGCTAATGCTGAACCCAGGACAACTTGCTTGGTGCCCTTATGGCTGCACAGGTTTTACATCTATTCTGCAGTTGCTTTTGGGATCAGCATTTGAATTGTCATTCAGTTCTCCACCTCCAAACCCCAAAAGAAGGCAACTGAGCATGCAAGTGCTTTGTCTGAGAAGAGCCCAAAAATCTGTGTGTGGAAGTGAATAGCTGCTGGGGAAAGGCACCCACTGGTGCAGTCAAATGCGCTACTTCACTGCAGGCCCACCTGGGTTGTTGCACAGGCCAACTGTAGTTCAGCGTTTATGACGGGTCTGGGTTGTCTTATGTTTGTGGGTAACTGAATGCCCTCATTGCTCTGGTGTTGTTCAGCTGAGTTCTGCTCTACTTCCCGTTTGTTAGTGAGGGAATGGGTCAGCCTGGGTTGCTCTGTCACTTCAGGCAAATCACTCTGCTTGTGCACAGTGTTTTCACGTTTCCTGTGATGTTAATGACAAGGTTGGGGTGGTTTTAGGACAGGAGTGGGATTAGGCCACTCAGGAATTTAAATCCTCCTTGTGCAGGTAAGTGAAGTGCTGCTGCATGAGCTGGGAAGTTCTTGGCTTCAGCTGGAGCCTGTTATCTCCGTGGTGTGCGAGCTGAGCTTGTTGTAGTGCGGCCCAGTTCAGAGAAAACTACTCGTGTGTTTTTCTAGAGGTGGCAGACACTCAGGTGCTTTGTTCCATTTGTGTAGTGCTGAGCCTGGTCACAGGACTGCAATTTTCAACGCTTTTGGGCAAAAAACAATAGATTGAGAGTTCTCCCTAGTCTGCCGTTCTTCAAGCCCTAGCATGTTTCTCTTGGGCCTGTCCCCAACAGGCCCAGTTATCATCTCCCCTTCCCCCTTCCTACCTAGTTTAAAGCCCTGTCAATGAGCCCTGCTAACTCCTGCCCCAGAAACCTTCTCCCCCTCTGGGACTGATGTATCCCACCTGCCACCAGCAAACCAGGTGTCTCATATAGCAGCCTATGATTGAAAAACCCAAACCCCTGCCTTTGGCACCAGTCCCATAGCCATATATTGATCTGCAGTCTCTTCCTATTTATCTCTTCACCTTTGCTAGTAACAGGTATGGAGGCAAACACCACTCGTGCTCCACACCCTCTAACCAGCCGTCGCAGGGCCCTGAAGTCTCTCTTCGTTGCCCTTGCCTTGCTTGTAATAATTTCATCGCTGCCAACCTGAAAAACCAGCAGCGGATAGTAGTCAGAGGGCTGCACCAGATCAGAGAGTTTCCTTTTAACATCTCCAATCTGAGCCCCAGGTAGGCAGCAGACTTCCCTGTGGGATGGATCAGGTCGACAAATGGGCCCTTCTGTTCCCCTCAGAAGGGAGTCACCCACCACAATTACTCTTCTTCTTTGTTGAGGAAGTTCTAAGGCATGGGGGTGAGCGACAAGCCCTAGGTGACTTACTGGATGGATCTACCCCTCCATCACCATTTACCTGGCCCTGTAGTTCCAAGACCTCATACCTGTTGCTCAAGGGCAACTGGGAGGAAGGAAGGGATTGCGAGGGTTTTCGCATACCTCTCCGAGGAGGGACCTCCCTCCATACTTCCTTGTTCCTTAAGTTTACTCCTTCTGTCTGATGGTAGGAGGGAAGGGGATCTATCACTTGTTCAACCACTTCCCTCTGCCCTTGCCTTAGGGTGTGGCTCCACCAATCAATTTCACTTTCACACTCTCTGATAGCTCTCAACCTTTCAACGTCCTCCCTCAGTTCAACCACCTGCTCTAGCAGGTCATCTATTTGCTGACACTGCACACAAGCGGTGTCCCTGGCTCTCTCCGATACAAGTGCCAGGCTCAGGCATTCACTGCAGCCAGGGACCTGCACGGCCGCATGTCTGCAGGAAGGCTCAGTCTGGGTACCCACGTTATTCCTCACTACAGGTTTTGATCGAGTGGTGACCATGATCTATCTGGTTGATCGGTCCGTCTACGTCTCTTTGCACAAGCAAGCAGTCCTTCCTCCTCCTGCGCTCCAGCCGAGTCCTCTTGATCAGGCGCTCGCCCCACTCGCCTGCCCGCGCAAACTGCCTCGCCGCGCTCCCTCTGCAGGGTTTTAAGCGCTCACAGCTGCCGCCGAGCCTGCTGGCTCCGCCCCCGGTCAGTCAGCTACTCGCGAGAGCTGAGCTGCCGTCTCCTGGGCAAGGCCTGTTGAGGAGTTGAGGCTCCCTCCTCAATGGCTTTTGTCGCTCTGAGTTGAGGCTCTTGGATGCTGATCTCTCCCCGCTCCACTCCGGTGTTGCAGGCGTCCTCTCTCACTCTACTCACCTCAGCAAGGGGTACTTGGAGTCATTGAAGGGTTTAGGCTTCCAGATGATCAGAGTGACTACTCCCCAAGCCTCTCCTGGAGCCCACTTTCTCATTCAGTCATCTGTTACAGTCTCCCTCTTCCTCAAATAGTGTCTGGCCACTGTACCCACTCTTCCTTACCAGATGCCTTACAGACCAGACTCTCACTACTGCCAGTCTTAAAGATCCTCTGCATGAAAGCTGGAAGCAGAAATAAAAAGAAAGTCTTAAAACATCTAATAACCTAAAGAGACAAACCCTCCAATAAAACCCTCCCCACTCCAGGGAGGAAGGAGACCACGGTGATTCATGAAGCCAGAAACAAGGAAGAAAGGTAGGCTTAGCCTATCTTCCCTCACCATTGCCTGGACCCCGAGAGCCAAGAGGTTAGCACTGAGGACTGGGCACAGAGGGACTGAGCCAGCTCCAGGAACCAGAGCTGGATGGAGACAGGGGCATCCTAAAGGAGCCACCACCTGATCATCTGTCCAAGCTGCTCCTAGATGAGAAACTTTGCAAGCACATGCCGCTGGGTGACAGCCAAGCATCATTTCTGAATATAGGTCTGGTCCCACAAGAACACCATCTCCTTGCCCTGCCCGTGCTGGAACTGCTCCAGGGACAGGACTGAGCAGTGAATACATCCCACATCCCAGGAGTGCCTCCACCATTGCTCCTGCTACACTAAGGATGCCCAAGTTCATGGACAAATGAAGTATCAGTGGCGACAAGTCAGCCCTGGGTGATGCCCAGAGACACTCCCCAGCTCTGTCCCCATGTTCCTCATCTGTCTGGGTGACTCCCCAGGCTAAAATCAGACCAAGGAACTTGCTATCGGTTAAACAGTGTGTTACCTCCTGGCCTGGTTTCGCTTAGTGGTGCAGACACAGGTCTGCTATGAGTTTTTGCCATTATTTTCCAGGTCAATTAATGTGAGAAACAATTTACGAAGGATTTATACAGGTTACAAAACATGTTTCTTAGAGCGAGAAGTGTTGCTGCTACAGGTGTGACGTGAAGACGACAACCAGGTTTGGTCACTTACAGAATAAAGGGTGTAAAGCTCATACTTCCCTTGGGTTTTTTAGAGCCATCTAAAAAGCAGTTTTAGAAGTGCAGTTGCAAGAGCTGTTTTTGAATTAAAAGCTTCAATTTGTATCAAGAGTATCTCAGAATATTCTGAATGCAGCTCAGCACGGGCTAGATTTGTGCTGACAACACAATTGCTGACATGCTCTTACAAATATTGTTCTTCTCACCTTCTAGTTTCACAACCTTTTCTTTTTTTTCTTGCCTGGAAGTCAAGGTTACAGTCACCACGTGCAGGCACTGGAGAGATGGAGAACTGTGGAGTGCTTGGTGAGGAAGGCCCCAGGCTGGAGATGGGGTGGCTCCTATGCCCTGGACCTCACCTTCCCCGCTGGAGCCCAGAGCACTGTGCACCTGTGAAGCAGCCAGGCCCGGCCCGGCCCTTGCTTGTGGCGGGATTCCCACAGCGTGGCACAGTCCAGTTTGGAAGTGCCCGTGGGCTGCCCGCTGCGGGAGCTGTGTGCCACGAGGCTCCACAATGGGCAGGGCCCTATGGACCCGCAGCTCAGGAGGGGCTGCAGATGGTGCCAGGCCCTGGCCTTGGCCTCGCCGCAGCCATCTGGCTGCTCGCCTTCGAACGGCTCCGAGTTGGACGTTAGGAAGAAGCTCCTCTGCAGCAGCAGCAGCAGCTCGTTGGGAGTGGTGGCTGTGGGCGGCTGCTCCTTCCTGTTCTCCCAGCGCAGCTTGCTGAGTTCGTTCCGGAGCTCACCGCGGGCCTCGCTGCTGCTCCAGGCTCCTCTGGCCAGCTCCTTCGCCAGCTGATGCTGCAGGCTCTGTGCCTGACGGGCGGCGGCGTGCTGGTGCTGCATTTCCCCTGCAGCTTGCACCGCGCTGCCTCCTTGGAGCGCAGCAGCTGGCAGATCTGCTCCTGCCGCTGGGTGAGCTCCCGCAGCCGCTGGAACTCCCATGCGTGCCTCTGCTCCCAGTTGGAGCGCAGCCGTTTGGCCAGGAGCCGCCGGTCCCTCTCTGCCACGTCCTGCCGGTCCCCCTCTGCCACAGCGGCCTGTGGCTGCCCTGCCCTTGAGCCTGCCCAGGTGCTGTTCCTCTCTGCGTCCTGCCATCCCTGACCCCCTAAACGCAGGACTTGGACAAGAAAACATCGGTCATCTAATGCCGTCTGAGCAGTCTCCAGTGCGCGTCTCCAGTGCGCGTACGGTTCTACTCATGGGTTTTTGAGTCCTCTTGACTAGTCTGTCTCTGAACATTAGGACACGTGCTGGGTATCTTGCCATAAGAAGACTCCATCTAACATGAGCAAAACGTGGAGCTCAGGGCACCCCAAGGGGACGCAATTGACTGGGGGAAACAGGCCTCTTTCCCCTCCCAGCATCGCCCTGCCTCTCATGTTCTGAATTGCAGGTTGCCGTGGTGCCCTTTGTGACAGGCCCTTAGTGATGCGCCCTCCGTTACCCACTGTAGTGCCCTTAGTGATGTGCCCTCCGTGACCCACCACGGTGCCCTTTGTGACGTGCCTTTGTGATGTGCCCTTGGTCACACCCCAGGGCACTGTATAAAAGTCAGCAGGCCACATCCTTCGTGCCAGTGTCCGGCAGGACGGTGACGGGACAGAGCGGGAGCGAGAGACTGGCGCAGACCCCTGAGCGCAGCCCACGTTGTTCCCCACTGCCCCAGCAGCCCCGCAGTGCCGAGACACTTCTTTCAACCCTACTCGTTCCTCACCCCTACCCTTTTGTCCGGCAAGGATGGAAGAGGAACGCGCTGCACACATGCGGTTTATCCAGACTTCCCTGCAGAGCTCAGAGAAGGTAACCGCAGCCGTTTCCAGGCTAGCAGTGCCCGTGTCTCCTGATGGGGCCACTGGCTCTGCTGCCAGGCTGCTGGGGGCTGCTGGCTGGGCAGAGCTGCTCCCCCGGGTCTCCTGCACAGCACTGCAGCCCCACTGCTCCAGTCCCGCTGGCCACGTGCCCCCCCTTCTCATGCTGCCTGTTTGTGTCTCCTTCTTGTGGGCCTTGCCATGTCCAGTGCCTCTGGACTGGCTCCTCTGCCCACTGCAACTTGTCTGCTTCAAGGTGTCCCTTGGCCACCTAGAGGTGGCAGGGGTGCCTTCCCCATGGCGTGGGGGGTTAGATCCATCCCCGGGGAGAGAGGGACTGCAGAAAGACTGACGTGACCGTTTTCCTCCTTGCAGACCCTGGATGCCGTGGACGTCCTGCTGGAGAGCTTGGTGCTCAGCTCCCCGGGCTCCAGGGACCTGTGGAGAATTTTGCAGGTGTGGCATTTGCAGAGAGCAGGGCTGGGAGGTGCTGTTCCTCTCCCTGGAGGGAAGGGAGCATCCGCTCTGAGCACACTGTGTCCTCGCAGCGCCATGCCCACAGCACGCTGCAGGGAGGGTGCTCAGCTCTCAGGGAACCCAGACGTGGCCCACCGTGCTCTTCCAGGAGCCTGTGTCCCCTGGCTGCAGTCAACCCCACTTCCCATCTGCAGCCTCCTCCCGTGCCATGGCAAAGCCTGGCCCGTGGCACTTGTGGGCCAGCTCCATCCCCAGAACTTTCCTCGCACCAAAGCAGCGGGAGGCACTGACCCCTCTCCTCAGGCACCGCAGCAGTGGCAGCGGGTGCTGCCCTTCTTCCCATGCCTCGCAGTCCCTCCTGCTTTTCCGCCCAGGTCTGACCGGGGCAGAGACCCACTGGGACCTGCCTGTCCTGCACAGGGAGCCCAGCTCTGAAGTTCGGCACTCCTGACTTCTCAGGGAGCCGTACGCCCATTCCCCCATTGCAGGATCACCGCCCCCCGGGAGGGTGCTGCCCAAAAGCCCAGCCTTCACGGAGAGGGAACACAGGCCTGTGCTCACGGGGAGGGCACAGAAAGAAGCAGACTCTACCCTGGGGTGGCATCTGCCTCCCTTCAGGGCCACAAGGACTGCATGAGTCCAGCCAGGACTTGAGCAGTGCTGCTGCTGCTGCTGCTGGCACGGGCACCAGCTCCCAGGGCACAGCAGCACTTTCTCTCCTTCCAGATGCTGCTGCCCTTCATCAACATCAAGCACCCAGCTGTATGTGAACGGGCCGTGGCAAGGATCGCAAAGCTGGCCGATTTGATGGCCAGCTCTTCCTCAGTGCAGGTAGGGAGGCAGGCACCCTCCAGCCAGGCTGTCTCCCACTCCCTGCCCACCGTGGGCAGCAGCCTGCGGCTCAAGATGCCTGAGGCATTCAGCACGGCTCTGCCCTGGGCAAGGGTCTCGGCTTCTCTTTTTCCCATGTTTTTTCCTCCCCAGTGCCCTTTCTGCCAGCAGCCATCTTGGCCCCCAGTCCTGTGCAGGTCAGCACTGCCCAAGGAGCATGGCGGGAGGCCAGGCCTGGCAGCTCTCCCTGCCCGGCTGCCCAGCTCGCTGCTCTGGGAGGGCCCTGCACAACTCCGACCCTCCAGGATCCTTCCCTGGGGCAGTCTCAGGTTCGGAGCTTTTGTTGCGCTGCTGCCCCTCAGCCCTTCTACCTGTCCTGCCTCCCTTGCCCAGGTCTGGAGCTTGCTTGGACACGACCACAGCTCTTCCCACTATGACATCAGCAAGGACCGCTTGCTGGGACAGCTGCTGGGACGTCTCATTGTTTGCTGGACTAGCAAGATCTGGGCGATCCAGCAGGAGGCTTTGGTTGCTCTTCATCACCTCTCCATATTCATCCAGCACCAAAAATGTAAGAGAAGCTCTGTGGGCTTCATCCCTCCACACACAGACGTCTCCTCATAGTCCTGCTTGTTTCCCCAAGTATTGTAGTGGATTCTTTTTGTGCTTGCTGGAGGCTGTCCAGGGCAGCCTGCCCTCTTCCCTCACCTCCTTTGCCCGTCACAGCTGCTTCCCGCAGCATCCCAGCTATTGTTTTGCTGCAGAAGCCGAGTGCTCACCACAAGTCCGGCACTGCTCTTTGCTGCTCTCCTTCCCACTCTTCTCAGGGCCTCTCAGAACCCAGCAGTTCCATGGTCCCCATAGCCAAAGCTGTCACTGATGGTAATCAGTGCTGTGTCCTAATGACTTTTCCGTGATCCCCTCATGTTTAGGCATGACGTCACCTCAACCAGACAATTGTCATGATCATCCAGAGCATCCCCAGGATGGAGGGAAGAGGGAAGCAGGGAAACCCTCCTGTCTTTCTCTGTGCAGCACGATTAGCATGGCAAAGGTAATGAGCTTCTTCCTTGCTGGGCCTCTTGTCTGGGGCATCAGAACGAGACTGGTGTAAGCAAAGGGATCCAGAACCAGCGGGCTTGGCATGACCTCACTGTCCCTGGTCAGAGGGTTGCTGCTGTTCTGGAGCAGGGACTTCAGAGGGCTGCACTCCAGGGTCCCTCCTCTCTCACCTAGGGACCTCTCTTCTTATCCTCTACTCCGCAACGACTCCAGCCCCTGCTGCCAGCTTTCCCGTGGGTCCTCTCGCCAGAGCTGCTCTCACTGCCCAGCTGAGCAGCACTATCAGGGCACTCAGTGTAACACGTCTTCCCCGCCTTCCTCCTTCCTGCAGGCATTTGGGGAATACCTCCACCCTCCTGATAAGGCAGTCATCGTCCTCAGGGCCATAGAGGCCATGAGAGACTCATGCGTATGTGACAAGGAAGAGTTGATCAGCGTTGTGAACATGGCCGTGGCAGAACCTGCCTCCTGGCTGACAGAGGTAAGCAGCCTGTGGCTGCCCTGTCCTCCAGTCCTTCCAGGCACTGTTCCTCCCTACATCCCATCTCCCCTCACCCAGGTGCTTCAGGCACCTTGAAGCCATTTCATGCCAGTAGAGTAGGATGGGAAGGGCAGCTGTTTCAGCAGCAGCTGAGGAAATGGCTGCAGTCTGGTGGCAGCACCACCCTCACCCGTGTGCTCTCCAGGTGCGGATCATCACGCGCTGCATCTATAACAACTTGCAGCACATCAGCGCAGCATCAGCCCGGTGCAGCCTGAAGTCGCTGTTTCTAAGCATGGCAGAGCAGAACCCCAGGGAGATGATCTTGAGCCTTATAGATATCTCTCCAGCATGTAACAGGTACTGACCCCCACAGCCCTCGTGGGTTTGTTCCATGTGGGGAGAGGGACGTGGAGGCCCACAGAAAACTGCAGGACACCCCTGAGGAGCTGGGCCCTGTACCCCATCACTCTCTCCTGCCCTGCTGGGTTGGCCAGGCCTGCAGTAGCCAAAGCTGTCCAAGCCAGACCCGAGGCCTGCCACGAGTTTCCTCCCTGCCCCACAGGGAACAGTTTCAGCCCCCTCCTGCCTGCCCCATCTGGGACCTGGGCACTCCCAGTGAGGGGTCAGGAAGGGCCAGGGCTGCAGCACAGCCTGGCTGCTGCAGGGCTGGCCCAGGCACCGTGTGGTGGCCAAGGCAGCCCTGCTGACAGTGTTCTCTTTCAGCAAAGTTGCTCAGGCCATGTGGGAAGCGCTGCTGTCCCAGCCCCTCATCTTGGTGAAGGTCTTGAGGGAGCTGAGAAGGAACCTCCAGCACCTGCAGTTACGTATCGGAAGCAGATTCTGCAGAGTGAAGTTCTGTATCCAGCTCTTGGCTGTGAGTAACCAGACCAGTCCTTGCTCATACTCAGGGCTGTGCCTGCCTCTCCAGAAACACAGGCACAGCCCTCTTCCCTGCCATCTGCCCCCAAACAGTCACCTCCTCTGGGAAACAGGGATGCAGCCCGTTAGGGCCAGCCCAGCGCCAGGTTCCCCTGTGCCAGCCACACAGGGCCATGCCACGCTGCTTGGGTGCGGGTGCACAAAGTCCCTGTCAGTGCTCTGCTTACACCAGCAGAGCCGGCACAGACAAGCGTGTGGTGTGCGGCTGGTGTCCCCCAGCACGGGCTCTCTGTCCCCGGTGCCCTTGTCCTGAGCTGCCAGCGGGACCCAGGAGCTGCACAGTGCCGGGAGCCCTGCAGGCTCGGCCGGTCCCTCACTGCCATCTTTGTTTCAGCTCCTGGCCTCCAGCGATGTGACACCAGAGAAATTCGCTGGCGTGTACAACAGGGAGAAGTTCCCGTGGTGTCAAAATGTGGTGCTGTTCTCGCTGACGCTCACAGGCCTCATCACGTTGTCACAGTCACCTGACACGGTGAGCAGGGCATAGGCAAGGGAAGCCGTGTTGGCCTCCTGGGGCTGGGCAGTGGGTAACGCGGCGGCTTGACCAGGGCTGGGAATCGGGAGCTGGGGTCACGGCTCCAAATGCCCTCAACGTCCAGTCACAGGCCCCGATCCCCTCAGTGCACCATGGGGATGGCCTGCCAGGAGGCTGCTGCAGGGATTCCTGTGCCACTGCCCAGTCAGCCAGGCAGGAGTCTGGTGCTTAAGGGCCAGAGCATTTTGGCCTGGGTGGTCCTTCGCCACTTCACATACAAGGAATTCTGTGCTTTGTACAGGCAAAGAAAATACTGGTCCTGCTGCCAGATTTGATATACATGCTGCAGACAGCCCACAGTAAGAACAGAAAGAAGATGCTGCTCATTTTCAGAAATGTGATGGGTCATTTGAAGAAGAAGGACATCTCCACTGCTCTGCAGCTGGCCGAGAATCTCCCGCAACTGTTTGATGATGTAAGGCTGCTATGGAAGCCTGATCCTCACTGATGGGCCCTTTGCAAGGACAAGTGCCTGTTAGCAGAGCCTGGCGGCAGCACTTGCATGGGGCTGTGCCCCTCCTCATGCCCCTGCGCTCTCACGGGGATGCCTTCTGGGCTCTGCAGCCCAGCTCAGCTTCTCCCTGACTTGCTGATGGCTCTGGGAGACCTGAAACCCCTCCCCTCAGCCACGCTGACGCCCTTGCTCAGGGAGCTGCTGCTACTGACGCCCTTCTGTCCTCCTCCTCCTCACCAGGTGTCCAGCCAGGTGCGAGAGCTCTCCATCTGCCTATTCAAAGAAGTAATACAGATGGCGGATTGGAAGCACCAGCGGCAGATGCGGAAGAACGTGCAGGGGAGCCTGGTCCCACTCGTGTTGCACATGAGTGATGAGACTGAGAGTGTGGCCAAGGTACAGATTGCAAACCTGAGCAGTGGTGTGGGGAAGGGCATGCTGAGCCCGCGGGGGTGGCCTGGGCAGCAGGGAGGGCAGGAGAAGCTGGCAGGGACATTTGCCACGCCTGCCCTATGTGGTCCAGCAGGGCTCAGCAGCAGCCCATGGCCACCAAGGCCTGAAGAGCAGAGTCCCCAGGGACTACCCAGCTGTCCCTGCAGGTGCTGGGGGCCAGGGCTTTGGGCCGCAAGCCCTGTCCACAATCTCCCCAATCCTTGTCCTCCTCTGCAGGCCTCTCACGAAGCCTTCTGTGTAGCTGCAAAGGTGCTCAAATGGAAATGGCTCAGTCACCACGTGCAGGCACTGGAGAGATGGAGAACTGTGGAGCGCTTGGTGAGGATAAGTCCCAGGCTGTACATGGGGTGCCCCTGTGCAGTGGTGCCTCGCCTGCAGTGCTTCAGCCCAGAGCCTGTAGCCTGGTGCTGCATCCTCCTTCCCTGCCCTCAGGCAGAGCTCCCAAGGGCTCAGGCAGAGCTCCCAAGGGCTCACCTCTCCACCCTCAGGATGTTGCAGGAGACCCATCTGGGCCCTTGCAGCGGCACAAAGGGCTCTCGGGACCTCCAGACCCTGCTTTGCATGTAGCTGTCTCTTGAACCTCAGCCCCACAGGGCTCCTGGCTGGGAGATGCAAATGTCCTGAGGATGAAGGGGGGTGTGTGGGGTGCTGGGAAGGGGGACTGTCCCAGGTAACTGGGGAGGGTGTGTATCATCCCTGCGCCCTTTTGCTCTCTCCAGCTGGAGCACGACCGGAGCAGGGCTGAAGAATATGTGCGTCAAAGCATGCCTTATCTGCAGCACGCTCAGGTCACCGTGCGAATGGCAGCCGTGAGGTTCATCGGTGAGCCGCAGTCCCTGGAGTCCCCCTTATGGCAGCCTGGCCCCAGTCCCATCTGCTGCACTGGCAGCGAGGAGCAGCCCTGTGGCTGCCAGAGCCCCAGCTGCCCTGTACAGGGCCTGTGCAGCCAGGGGCTCTGTGCTTCCCCCTCCTACCCCTGGCCTGGCAGCAGGGCTCAGTGGCACCTTGCTCAGTGGCACCTCCCCTCGGGTCCTGTCCTTCCCTGGGGTCACCCCACTGAGGGGAGGGAAGGGGTTCAGCCCAACCGTCAGAGCCGGGGCCACGATACCAGGAGTGTGCTGGCCGGCAGCAGGTCTGACCGAGCTCTCTGCACAGGACTGGCTGCGCGGTACCTGAATGACAGCAGCAAGGACACGCTGCAGGAGATCTTCAAGGGTGAGTAGGGGCAGTGCTGTGTGTGATGGGGCTGGCGGGGACAGGGGACAGAGCCTGGGCAGCGTGCTGTCCTGCTGTCCTGCTCCAGGGAACATCTTGGGGGCATTTGCTGTAATCCTGAGCAGCAGCTTCCAGGTGATCCATTTGTCTGCCTGCGCCTCCTGACCAGGGAAAGGGATGGTTGGGGCTGGCATGGTCTGGAAGAGATGCCTGTGGGTCTCTGCAGATCAGTGGGTTTCAGCTCTGCTCTTTTTCCGTCTGTTGCAGCACTCCATCCTTTGACAGGAGAAGAGGAATGTCAGGTCTCATCCCTGGTACAACAGACAATATACATCCTGACCTATATATGGATGCAGAAAAGACGGAGGCGGACCCTGTAGGCGTTGTGCTCCTGACTCTGAAAAGCCAGGCAGCAGTTAAGCCCTGCTTAAGAAAATGTGACTTTTTGATTAAAGCTCCAACCACAATTCCAAGGCCATGGTGTCCTTCGCAAGCAGCATGGAAGGCCACGCAGCAGCCGCTGGGCAGCGGTTGCGTCCTGGCTCCACGTACCCACCTGGCCATGGTTGCAAACTGGGGAGTGTTTGGTGAGGAGAATCCCGAGGCTGGACACGGGGTGCCCCCTGTGCAGCGGTGCTTTGGCTGCCCTGCTCCAGCCAAGAGCATTGCTCACATACGAGGCAGCCCGTCCCGTCCCTCCTTCAGCTCTTACAGCTGCTTCCCACAGCATCCCAGGCACTGTTTTGCTGCAGAAGCTGGATGCTCACCACAAGTCCGGCACTATTCTTTGCTACCTCCTTCCCTCTCCTCTCAGGACCTCTCAGAACCCAGTTGTTCTGAGGTCCCCACAGCCAAAGCAAACTCTTCCCTCCTGATACAACCTGGAGGAAACCTTTCCCCTGAGCCGACTGGGCAAGGCAGAGTGGGAAGGGGAGAATAGGTTCCTGTTTTGCTGCAGAGCGGGTCTGGGTGGCGGGCCCGTGGCAAGCCCCTGGGCACCTGATAGTACCGGCAGGAAAATCATCCCAGGGCACCGGTCCAGTGGCAGCGGGTACCGGCAGGTCTGTGGCGGGGCTCTGCGGGGACACAATGGTCAGCGCCGCCTTTAGCGGAAGGAGTATCCAATCTGGTCCTCCCCTGGTGCTCACCCGAGGCAGTAGCAGTGGGACAGGTTCTCTGAGGACGGACCGTGTCTGCGGCCGGGCCGCCGTTAGCAACCGTTTTGCCGTGGATACCTGGATCTTCTTCTATACTTGTGTCGTGGTTTAAACCCAGTCAGGCAACTCGTTCACTCCCTCCCTCCCTTCCCACCCTCCCCCTACTCCCGGAGGGACGGAGACGAGAATCGAAAAGAATGCAACTCCCACGGGTTGAGACAAGAACGGTCTAGCAACTAAGGTAGAACACAAACCACCACTGCCACCACCAATAATAACAATGATAAAGGAAAGAACAAGGGAAGAGAATACAGCACCTCACCGCCAGCCGACTGCCAGCTCGTCCCCCCAACCCAACCAAGCACCGACCGATGCCTCCTCCAACCCTGCAGTCTTAGCCCCTCCGGGTAACCATCAGTTACATCCTGGGCATGACGTGCTGTGGTATGGAATACCTCTTTGGTCAGTTTGGGTCAGGTGTCCTGCCTCTGCTTTCTCCCGGCTTCCCCTCCTCCCTGGCAGAGCATGAGGCTCACAAAGTCCTTGGCCAAACCAAAACATCATTGTTATCAGATCTGTTCCCAGCTACAAAGAAGGAGAAAAATGACTGCTAATGCTGAACCCAGGACAACTTGCTTGGTGCCCTTATGGCTGCACAGGTTTTACATCTATTCTGCAGTTGCTTTTGGGATCAGCATTTGAATTGTCATTCAGTTCTCCACCTCCAAACCCCAAAAGAAGGCAACTGAGCATGCAAGTGCTTTGTCTGAGAAGAGCCCAAAAATCTGTGTGTGGAAGTGAATAGCTGCTGGGGAAAGGCACCCACTGGTGCAGTCAAATGCGCTACTTCACTGCAGGCCCACCTGGGTTGTTGCACAGGCCAACTGTAGTTCAGCGTTTATGACGGGTCTGGGTTGTCTTATGTTTGTGGGTAACTGAATGCCCTCATTGCTCTGGTGTTGTTCAGCTGAGTTCTGCTCTACTTCCCGTTTGTTAGTGAGGGAATGGGTCAGCCTGGGTTGCTCTGTCACTTCAGGCAAATCACTCTGCTTGTGCACAGTGTTTT